AAAAAAAAACGCTTTCTTTAATTAGTTCTATCTTAGTAATTAAAGTTTTAATTATTTCCAGAAAAAGAAATATTTAACTTTCATACCACAAGTTCCTTTATTATGTACTGAGATGGTCTTGTTCTTTTTACAAGCATCCTGACGCATCATACATTCATTTGGATAAGTCTTGTTATTGGATCCACAAATTGGAACAGTAGGTTTCGTGGGACATTCCTCGCACTTGCAGTTGATGATACCAGACGTTTGGTCTACTTCACATACAACAAAGGCAGGAACTGCAACGGCTGAGGAGACAATATAGCGTTAGCTAACTATTTTGTTTTATTTTTCAATGTGTTCTGCCATGATATATTTCACAATAGTTTTCTTTACCTTGGTTTGCCCTGACGCATTGTGTGTGACAACCACTGGAGCAACACTTCATTGAAATAGGACAATCACTGTCAGAGGTACATTCATCAGGTCTACCATCACACGGTCTGCCAAAAAGTCTTTTCCAGTTTCTTGGACAAGTTCCTAAACAAATAGACAATCAACATAATACAAAGCAATGCCACATTGATTGTTTCTAGGAACTTCTCATCACATTGTTAACTATATAGAAATGCAAGTGTTAACAAAAAAAGTGTTTTCTTTTATTAGCTCGATCTTATTCAGCAAAGTTTTAATCATTTTCAGTAAAAGAAATATTTAACTTTCATACCACAAGCTCCTTTATTATGTATTGAGATGGTCTTGTTCTTTTTACAAGCATCCTGACGCATCATACATTCATTAGGATAGGTCTTGTTATTGGAACCACAAACTGGATCAGTGGTGTTCTTGGAACATTCCTCGCACTTGCAGTTGATGATACCAAAAGTTTGGTCTGCTTCACATACACCAAAAGCGGGAACTGCAACGGCTGAGGAGACAATATGGCGTTAGCTAACTATATTGTTTTATTTTTCAATGTGATCTGCCATGATATATTTTTCAATAGTTTTCTTTACCTTGGTTTGCCCTGACGCATTGTGTGTGACAACCACTGGAGCAACACTTCATTGAAATAGGACAATCGCTGTCAGAGSTACATTCATCAGGTCTATCATCACACGGTCTGCCAAAAAGTCTTTTCCAGTTTCTTGGGCAAGTCCCTAAACAATAGACGTTCAACATAATACAAAGCAATTTCACAATGAGTGTTTCTAGAAATTTCTCATCACAT